CTGGTTCTCTGTTTATCAAGCTTTGTCTACCAGAAAGGATGACTTTTCCTATACTGGGATTTAAAGATTGGTTTTCTCAATAAATATTTTTATTGAAAAACCGGTCGTGACACCGCTATATGCAGGCACCGACGGCCCAGGGGGGGGGGGGCGGGGGGGCGCGTATTCGCGTGTTGGGATCAAGCTTTTGCCGCACCCCTCAAATTTTTTCGCGGATCAATGCGTTTGCGAGGTCTGATCGGACAGGATTTTCCGCGCCGACCCGCATTTTGCGGTTATTTTGTAGGTCGTGTTTTTTTCGGGGTCTACTAGAGTTGCTCTTACACTACAACCACACTTAAACTACACTAAACTCGTATACTACAATCTTACATTAAAAATTCTACACATTAGAACTACACACTACCTAGAACTCATCGGCAGCGGCGGCGACAGCGAGGGGGCGTTGCAGGGGGAGACATTAGAGACAGCGGTGGAGAAGATGGCAACGGAGATGACGGGGCAGGTGGGTCCTTGGCAGCATCGATGCAGGCAGAGGCGACGGCAGCGGAGAAGAAGAAGACGACAACGGTGGAGGCGGCGATGGAGATGGTGGCAGTGGCTGTTGTCGTTGGGTCCAGGCATTATCGCGTCCGAAAAATACCCTTTTAATTAAATTCTGAACATTCTAGTCCTATGTTTTAAGGGATATGTTTCCACTAAAGTGATTTTTTTCTATGTTTCAGACTTTTTTTAGGGGTGTTTCAGACCTTTTCTATTCACGAGCTGTTCCATCATTTTTATGTAGCATTACTCGGACCCTTAATTTACTTTGGCCTTGTTATTACTTCCTCCGTCTAGATGTATAAGTCATCTATGGTGAAGCAGCGCGACCTAGGTGGCTGCCGATTGGAAGAGGCCAAAGAATCGGACCGGGAATTCTTCCAATCACTGCGCCACTTTTTTCCTCCTAAACCAAACGGAGATTAGCAATGAATCCCTCATTAATAGGGCTGCCGTCTCGGCCAACCCATGCAGGTCCATTCCCGTGCATGCAAACTGGGGTCAATCCCTCCCCTAATCAACGTGTTCCTTCTCTGCATGCATAGGTCGCTCCTTCTCTCCCACATTAACTTCCGCCCCCGCGTGGTTTAGCCAAAAGAAATTGCTCGCTAATAAACAAGGCAGTGAGGGGAACGAGGACGGAATTTAATGCATTGCGTCTAAGAGTTTTGAGAATATCTGATTTTTGTAAGGTGACTTACACACCTAAACGGAGGGAGTAATCCAGAAGGCCAAATCTCAACAACAGCAAAAATCCAGATAGGCAGAGTCATTGGGCGAGTCAACCCCGAGTCCACGCGCACAGACGCGAGTCTTCTTGTCTCCGTGCCTTGCTCTCTACTCCCACCTCGCCACTCGCCAGATCTGGGACTGGGAGCAAACCACACCACTCCCGCCGGCCGCCGGAGGGATCTTGCCTGTGCCCTCTACTACCTAGCCTAGCGATACACTAGCCACCAGTTCACCTCACCATCCCCGTTGGAGACCAGCCGCCGGAGAGCCGCCGGCAGATCGTGTTGGGAGTAAACCACGCCTCCAGACGATGACTGGTGTGCATGCACGGGTATGCGCTCCAGGTCCGGCTCATAAGGCAGCGGCCGTTGGCAAGAGCGGAGGGCTAGTGCGTTGGTTCGTTAGCTAGCCCGCATGGCCGGGTCTCCTGTGTACGCGCATGCACCGTAGTTAGCAGGTTAGTTGGTTAGTGCATGCATGCATCATGGATATGGATGCCGTGCATGTAGCTGGCTTAGTGAGTTTGTTAGCTAGACTAGTGCGTGCGTGCGTGGAGTTAGTGGCCGGTGTGGTGGCCGGATGGTGTGTGTGCAGCCGGGTATAAAAGGCCCCCTGATGTATTGATGAAGTGGAGCCGTGTGTAGCCATGTAGTCACTGTAAGGAAGAAAAGGATTGGGGCGTTCGTGCGCCCGTGGCGGCGTTCGTGCGCCGGCCGGAAAATCTTGTGTCCATTCTTCTTCTTCCACCTCCATTCGATTGCGAGGAGAGGTAGCTAGAGGGCCGCGGTTCCAACAATTGGTATCAGAGCATCGGGTTCGGAGGAGCTCGCCGGCGATGGCGCTCGTCCCGTGCGGCGGCGGAGCACGGTGATGCCGTGCGTGCGGGGAGCGCGGCGGTCGCGGCGGACCTGCGCGGTGGCGCAGAGGCTGCGATGGCGCGGCGTGGCTCGGCGAAGAGAAGGCCAAGCTCCGGGACACGCCGGATCGGCCGCGTTGGTCGTGTCGGAGCGCGATCATGGCGCGGGCAGGAGGCGTGCGGAGCGTGGCAGAACAAGCCGCGGCGACGGGCTTACCGCGTCGGGCGCGTGTATGGGCGCGCGCCAGACGTAGCGGGCACGTCGGGACCGCGGGAGTGGACCACGTCGAGGCGCTGGACCTGGTTGCGCAGATCGCGTACGTGCGCGGCGGGAGCGCGGGCCGGGAGCGCGGGGATGTGGGGAGTGCGCAAGAAGGGCACGGCGGTCGCGGAGACGAGGAGGTCGCGAAGGACCTGCGTGGTGGCGCAGAGGTCGCGACGGCTCGGGGCGACAACCGTGGAAGGTGCGTGACACGTAGGCGCGGCGTGACGGCTGCTATGGCGGACACGGAGGCGGCACGCGATGAGCGTATGGTGCTGTCGGGCTCGTCGGGCGCGTCGGATGCGCGCGGGACGTGCGGGACGCACTGGTGCGGTCGGGCTCGTCGGGCGCTTCGGGTGCGCGTGGGACGTGCGGGACACGCAGAGGGACGCCGGGCGTGTGTCGCCGGCGGAGATGGAGCTCGGCGCCGGGGTCGTGACGGAGCACGGTGCGGCCGGCGTCTATGCGTCAAGTCGGGTCCGCGGGCTGGGTCACGGCCATAACGACGACAATGACGGAGCTACAACAACTCCGGTGATGGCGAGGTCGTGATTTAGGAGGAGTGTGTTGGGAGTAAACCACGCCTCCAGACGATGACTGGTGTGCATGCACGGGTATGCGCTCCAGGTCCGGCTCATAAGGCAGCGGCCGTTGGCAAGAGCGGAGGGCTAGTGCGTTGGTTCGTTAGCTAGCCCGCATGGCCGGGTCTCCTGTGTACGCGCATGCACCGTAGTTAGCAGGTTAGTTGGTTAGTGCATGCATGCATCATGGATATGGATGCCGTGCATGTAGCTGGCTTAGTGAGTTTGTTAGCTAGACTAGTGCGTGCGTGCGTGGAGTTAGTGGCCGGTGTGGTGGCCGGATGGTGTGTGTGCAGCCGGGTATAAAAGGCCCCCTGATGTATTGATGAAGTGGAGCCGTGTGTAGCCATGTAGTCACTGTAAGGAAGAAAAGGATTGGGGCGTTCGTGCGCCCGTGGCGGCGTTCGTGCGCCGGCCGGAAAATCTTGTGTCCATTCTTCTTCTTCCACCTCCATTCGATTGCGAGGAGAGGTAGCTAGAGGGCCGCGGTTCCAACAGATCGGATCGAGCAGAGCAATGCAGGTCGCGACCGGGGCCCTGAGCCCCCTCCTCCACAAGCTCGTGGACCTGCTCGTGGCCGAGCTCACCCTGAGCAGCCGCGTGAAGAAGGGCGTCCAGTCCCTCACCACGGAGCTGGAGCTGATGTACGTCGTCCTCTCCAAGGTCGGCGACGTGCCGGCGGACGAGCTCCACCCGCAGGTCCGGATCTGGGCGGGCAAGGTCCGGGAGCTCTCCTACAACATGGAGGACGCCGTGGACGCCTATATGGTCCGGGTGTGCGACGGCAGCCAAGTTGAACTCGGCCCCAACAACTTGAAGAACAGAGTCAAGAAGTTCTTTAAGAGGACCAAGAAGTTGTTCACCAATGGCAAGGCTCTGCATCAGATCTCCGGCGCCATCCACGACGCCCAGGAGCTCGCCAACCAGCTGGGTGAGCTCCGTCAGAGGTACGATCTTGTGGCATCCACGGATGGTGTAGCGAATGCCATTGATCCTCGCCTCAAGGCTGTGTACAGGGATGTCACAGAGCTTGTAGGCATTGAGGATAGGCGGGATGAGGTGATTGAGAAGCTTTTTAATGGGGATGACATGTCTAAGCAGCAGCTCAAGACACTCTCTATTGTTGGATTTGATGGATTGGGCAAGACAACGCTTACCAAAGCAGTGTATGACAAGATCATAAAGCAGTTCGACTGTGGCGTGTTTGTTTCGGTGTCACGGAATCCCGACATAACAAAGATTTTCAAGAATATGTTGTATGGACTAGACAGTAGTAAGTTTGCGAACATCAACGAAGCCATTAGGGACCATGAACAACTCATGAATGAGCTGAGAGTGTTTCTTCAGGATAAGAGGTATGCATTCATTGATATAAATTCTAAGGCCACCATCACATCTTTGCTAAGATATACCTCCAAGGAAACTTAGATAAATAGAAACCTGGTAACGTACGTCTTCATTTATACTTGATCTAATGTTCTACAAAATCCTTCAAGGAAACTTAGATAAATAGAAACCTGGTAACGTACGTCTTCATTTATACTTTGATCTAATGTTCTAGAAAATCCACAGGTACTTAATTGTCATTGATGACATTTGGAGTGAGGATGCATGGGAAATTATCAAGTGTGCTTTGCCTAAAAGCGATCTTGGTAGTCGAGTAATAATAACAACTCGCATAACCAGTGTCTCCGAAGCATGTTGCCCATCTTGTGATGATATTATTCATAAGATGAAATCTCTTGATAATGATGACTCCAAAAGGCTCTTCTACAAAAGAATATTCCCTCAAGGAAGTGAATGTCGTGTTGAACTGGAGCAAGTATCTAGAGAGATTTTGAAGAAATGTGGTGGCGTGCCACTAGCCATCATTACTATAGCCAGTCTGTTAGCCTGTAATGATCAGCAGATAAAGCCAAAGTATCAATAGGATAACTTACTGAGTTCTATTGGTCGTGGACTTGAAGAAGGTGGTACTGCGAAGGATATGCAGAGAATACTATCCTTTAGTTATTATGATCTACCTTGTTATCTAAGGACTTGTTTATTATATCTCAGTATATTTCCAGAAGATTTTGAGATAGATAGAGACCGGTTGATATGGAAGTGGATAGCCGAAGGCTTTATCCAAGGTGGAGAACAAGACATTAGACTATTTGAGCTTGGAGAGAGATACTTCACTGAGCTGATAAACAGAAACTTGATCCAGCCATCATATGTTGATTTTCATGGTAGGGTGCGAAGTTGTCACGTACATGATATGGTACTTGATCTCATATGTTCTCTATCTACCGCAGAAAATTTTGTTACTATATTGGATGGTACTAAGCAAAGGAAAAGTAATTCAGATAGCATGGTTCGCAGGGTATCATTTCAGAATAGCATGTCAAAGCACACCACCCATCAGGTCAATGCCATAAGTATGTCAAAGTTAAGGTCTGTTACTCTCTTTAGAACTGGTGTTGATATGATCCAGACTCTTTCAAACTTCCATATTCTGCGTGTATTGGATTTAGAAGGTTGTAATCTTCAGAAAAGCAGCCACCAGATTGATCTTAGGTATGCTGAGAATTTATTACATCTGAGGTACCTCGGGCTAGAAGGTACATTTGTTGACGTTCTGCCCATGGGAATAGGAAAGCTGCAATTTTTGCAAACAATGAACTTAAGAACGTGTATGGTGATGCCATCCAGTGTTGGGCGGCTAGGACATTTAATGTGCCTCTATGTTGATATTACAGTGAGATTACCAGTTGAGATAGGGAATTTGGTGTCCTTAGAAGAGCTGAATGAAGTTATGGTGGGTGGTACTGATGCGATTGAGAAAGAACTAGGAAAGCTGGCGGAGCTGAGTGTGCTTGGTCTTTGGTGGGAGGGAGACGACGAGAGTGTTTGTAATTCTTTGGTGGTGTCCTTGGCCAATCTGCGGAAATTGCATAAATTAACTAGTTTTCTTTGTGGGGATGCAAGGTTTGATGACAGCTGGGACAGATGGGTGCCCCCTCCACACCTCCACGCCTTTTATTTTTATCACTGTACCTCAACATTGCCTAGATGTTTTAATTCATCATTGTTTCCCGTTCTCTCCTGTTTGCATGTAGTAGTGGATAGAGTGAGGCTGGAGGTCGACATTCAGATCCTTGGGAAATTTCCCGCTCTTCGTTCTCTCTGGCTGGGAACCACCAAAGACCAATGCACACTTCTGTCGAAAGGTTCATCATTGGCAATGATGCATTCCCCTTCCTGAGGCAGTGCGTATTCGATAATTTTCAGACGGGGCCATCTATGTTTCCACGAGGATCTATGCCCATGCTTGAATCCCTTAGCTTCTATGCCCGCGTGTCGCACATTGCAGCTGGTGATTTGGATGTCGACATGCAACACCTCCCTTCACTTCAGAAGGTTGATGCTTGTCTTTGGTCTGAAGAAAACTGCTCGCCAGCAGTGAAGAAAGTGGCTGATTTGCTGGAGCTAGCATCGAACGCCCATCCCAACTGTCTAACTTTTCGTTGGGGTCTGCTTTGTAAGTCATTTCTCTTACGCAGCCAAACTTATGTAGACTTTGACATAATTATAGCTTAGCTTAATTCTCTCCCGCCTGGCAATGCAAATTAATGCTCGTTCTTTTTCCTTTGTTTCAAAGCATTACCCAAGGAATGGGAAGAGGAGACTGCATCACTATCCACCGTGAACGATTCATCAGAAGGGGAGCCTGTTAGAGCCAATCCCATCAATTAAAATCTGCAGGTAAGCGGCAATTACCAAGACTGGTTTTGCTTTTCTTTTTTTTCGATGAGACTGGTTTTGCTCTTGGTGTTGTATAGGCAGGTGAGCTCGTGAGCAAGTCATGTTATGAGGTGGGCTGATATATTAGTACAAAGTGACATATACCGTTTGTCTTGGGGCTTTAACAGAATAAAATGGGAAGGTATCAGTCGTTGATAAAAATAATCAGTCCGTCGGCACCTAAACTAGAACCACCTTATAAGAAACCTGAGAGAGCCTAAGTAGTAATCACAATGAGGGCTGGGGTAGTCCGTATTGAAATCTCTAAAAGGTCTTATATTTAGAAACGGGGGAAGTATCTGACATGACAATAACAAACTGTTCACCTAGATACTTGCTCTCAAATGGCTCAGGTGGCAGGGGAGGTTTATGGAAGATGTTTTTTTTTCCTCCCCCTGAACTGCAAAAAGCATAAAGTTTAAGGCGCCTATCTTTGGTTTTGTGATATATCATACATTCGCATTGTCTTGACTTATGCTTTACTATCCCCTGAAGGTTTGCCTAGTGGCTCAATGCTTTGTTTCCCACCTCAAGAGTTGTGCCGCCACTAGGATGTATGCGATCTGGGTGCTGGGAAATACTCCCTCCGTCCCATAATATAAGTAGCAGTGTCAAAAACGCTATTATATTATGGGACAGAGGGAGTACCTTGGAGCCCTTTCTACTCGCTTTTACTTACCGTGCTATTTCCTTCTGCGTGCCAGAATACTGAGCATGTCATTGAGAAGATGGACGTGAAGCTGGAAAATGGTGATCATGTAATGCAGCCTTACTGACAGAGGCGGAGTTGGCTGATAGCCGTGTCCAGTTTTTCCTTTGGTGTGGATCATGTGGGATGAGGAACTCCTTTTCATTTTAGCTGGCCTAGATTAGGTTTGGCTGGTGGTTTTCATTTTCCTTGCAGTTTTTTGTGATCAATCTGCTGCTGTCTAAAATACACCAAATATTATTTTGTTTTCTCAGACATATGCACTCATTATCTTGGGTACTCAACGCATGCTCGGAAATTATGTTGTTATCATGCACACTATCCTATAAGAATGGACAATTTGTTAAGGTGTGCTGCAGCCTGCAGATGAATACTAGTATGTAATGTACATATGAGAACAGCAAGCAGTGCCCCAGTCTGAACTTTCTCTCGGATTGTTGCTTGCTGGAGCTGAACTGCAATGAATAATGATTACATTCTAGCCTTACAAGTAAGTCTACATCCGGGAAGAATTGATGTACTGATCAACACTACATGAACATGCATGGTTTTTCCAAAGCTGCCATCATCATCATCATACAGAAACACGCCGCTTTTATCACTCGTCTGTCAGGTTCTGCCTTAGGGTTCAGTACTTCATGGCGTGCTGATAGGTGGGCGGAGAACGAAGAAGGAGATAGAGATCCAACAGGAGAGGGCAGTAGCTAGCTCAGAGATGCTGGGCAAAGTTCAGCAGGTGAGTGTGGAAATTGTCCTTCGACTTGCTGCGGCTACCAAACTCTGCACACAGAACTGAATCAGCATGTGCAGTAACAACTGACAAGGAAGGGGAGGGAGAAGAGAGGAGGCTGAGGAAGATGTTATGAATGGGGAGCACGGGCCTGGCGTGGCAATGGGCAGAGCAGATTGCAGGGGGTGTGAAGGCTGGAGGGACACTGGCGGTGTGGAGAAGCCAAGGAGGAGGCGCGAGATAGAGTCATACTCTAGTAGCTTCCTCCTCCATAGGGTTTCAGACTTCAGGTTGGTCAAGAGGGAGAGAGCCCCCTGCAAATTAGTATCCAATGCCCGATTAATCCATCATGCAACAGAAGAACCACATGTACTATAATTACCTTTGATAGAGTCGGCGTAGAAGTGCGCAGCACTTCGTCGAGATATGAAGACAGAGGCTCCCATCCCTCACTTCTCTTGTCTGGATGCAAAAGGCCAACTGCTGAATTCACTGTTAGCTGTGATTTGTTGTGCAGAATCCGACTAATGGATCCAAGGTCAAAAGAGTGAACAATATAAAATGATGAATTCCTTACTATGAGTTGGACAACAGGAGTGAATCTGCTGAACAGGAACTCAAGCTCTGGTAGACGCCAGCGAAACATCACAGTATACATGCAGTCTCCACAATCTGCACTAGATGTTTTTTTTCTTTTTTGAATGGTAATAATATGCAAAAGGTGTAGTTGGCGGTCCGTGGTGCTATGCACCGTGTGCACAAGTAATCAACCTGTTCCAATACTACAAGAATGAAACATGTTGTTTAAGCATCGAGATTTTCAGAAGAAAGAAATGGTTAAGGAAACAGAGCGAAATAAGGTGTGTTGTCTACACCATATACTGCTCAGATAGATCAACATAACAGAGGATAAACTACTATTCCGCCCAAATAGTTAATCTCATGAACCAAAAGCTACCCAGACACTAGGAACTTAGCCAGTGCGAACACAAGTGAATCTGGCTGAAGCTCGAAGGGACCACCGAAAAGACTTCTATATATGATCTGAGACCTGAAACATTTCCACAGCTTGAAGGTTAGGGCAATCATCATACTCTAAGCTAAAACAAAAACGCACATCCATAGATTTATGTATAGCAGAAACTAATAAGAATTCATCCCTAGTTCAAATAATCGGCTATACCCTGTGTTTTCCAAATTTTACCATGCAATGCAAGCAGGTGCTGCCTGCAAACTGCAGTGATCCATTTCAAAGACCAGTACATACGATGTAATAGAGACACACGAATATGAGAGGTGCCAAAGTTTTGATCGCTTTGGAGTTTTCCTTTTTTATTACTCCACCATGGCATAGCTTTCGGTCTTGTATGACTTTGCTGGTTGCCAGTGTGATTCCAGGTGGCACACCGGCACAGTGCCGGGCTTCACCTTGAGCACCTGGAAGGCGACGTGCGTTGGGTTCCAGCCGGCCGTGTCCGCGTGGCACAGCGCGACGGCCTCGACGTCCGTGCCGTCCTCACCGGCCATCGACACTATGTACGCCCTCGTCGCCCGTGTCAGGTGGCATGCGAACACGGCGTATGCGTACGGCTCCATGTGGCAGACCACGAGCGGGTCAGCGACGGGGTGCGTCACGCCGGTCAATGTGTACTCCTGCATCGGTGTTCCCTCCTTGCCAACGGCGGTGGACATGGCCCTCAGCTCG